AGTTGCAACATATATAGGTTAAAACTAATTGCAATATAAGTTGCAACATTAAAAGTTGCAACATATTAATTACAGTTTTCATCTTTAGTTATATCAAAATTCGTTGTAGAAAGAGTTGATTGTAGCTATATTTTTCTGTTGTAGAAACTCATTCCAGAAAACTAGATAGGTTTTTCTAGGATAACATGTAATAAAGTTGTATTATTTTACATTACTTTTATCTATACTTAATTGCTCACCAGTCCCTGTATTGAAGCTAAGTCAGCCAGCTTTTTCCGATAGTATTATTCCATTTTATGGTGCTTTCTAATATGAATATCATAAGTGTCATATTTGGAAAAGGTTAATTAACTGCATTCATTACAAGGTATACGTAAGGGAGAATTCCAATGAATTTGGCATCCTTCCAGTCAGTAACATCCCTGATTGCAAACTTCACTACTCCTAAGAATATAAAATATTGATAAAATGCCATCTTTGATATTTATAATTAATTGGTTTATGTATCAATTTATATATTTTAGAATTAATTTTCATTTTAAACTTTTTTCTCCCAGAATATATACTTTCTCTTAAACTGTATATTTGTGACATATTATCATGATCCAATCTGAACTTTCAGAGTTTCTCGATATTCCTGTTCCATATAAACAAGGTTTTAAAGCTGAAGATATCAGTAAATGCTTATATAAAATCTGGAATGATAGTGTTAGACCAAGACATTTCCTTGACGCAAACAATGAGAATGAAATAGAAGCTATTCTCTCAAATCGCGAAGTCATTCCTTACATGAATTTATTGATGGTGATGAGTCATTCTGACCTATTATAGATTTTGATTTACACAAGAAGTACTTGATACTATTGGGCCTAAGCTAACACGTAAAGAGGTACTAGATTCACTTATTCTTGCTTTTAAAAAGACATATTTCTGAAGTAGGATCCTAAAACTATAGTTATTACCAGTAGTAGTGATGTGAAAAAAATGTTGCTCTATATCTCAACTATTGGTATGAGACTTAAAAATATTGCTCAAGTTGCATTGTTCATTAAGCTCTTTCGTAAAAAAATTCCGTTAGCTTTACAGGCAAATAGTATTATTAATAATATAGCAAACAAACAAACATTCTCCTTGCGAATGATTAGAACATTTAAGTTTAATAAAAAGACTAACACTCACATATGAGTAAAAAAAGTCATATATCTAAAAAATGGATCTGTTTTTGACTTTATGATTCGTCTACTCAATGATAAGTCAGAAATCATTGACAATTCTTTCTTGGTTATTCTAAAAGCAGAAATGGAAAGATATATTAGCATAAATAATATCACCAACAATGCTAAATTTGTACTAGTAGAGATACTACTTTAAGAAACTAGCATTAAAGGGTATAGTCAGGATTGGAAAGTATAGTGTTAGTACAATGATTAGTACAATTAGTACAGTTAGTACATTATAATAATTAATATAAAAATTAGTACAAGTACA